GGCTTCGACCTTCCGTCAACCTTCCGCCTCTTGGGCAAGGTCGAGTGAGGACTGTTTGAACTTAGCCTCCCACTCCGAGGCAGCCTTTTGAGCCGAAGAAAGCTCTGAATTTAACTTGTTGTTGTCACTACGCTACTGTGCCAAATTCTTCTCAACCTCAGTTGCCTTGGCTACAGCCTTAGCTTGCGCGGCCTCGCTCGCATTAAGCTTGTCAAAGAACTCCCTTTCCTTGACCCCACAGGCTACCACTTCCTCTCTGAGCCATTCTAGCTCAACCTACTTAGCCTCTTTCTCTTTCTCCGCAACCTCGGCCTTGGCTAGAGCATTCTCCTTCACTGTATCTGCCAGCATCCACCCTTGGTAAGTGCTCTCTAAGGTGGCTTGGCACTCCTCATACAGAAGCCTGCTCGCCATGGCAAACTAAAAAGACAAGATGAAAAGTTAGCAAAAACAAATGATAACACACAAATAAAAGAAAAAAAAGAGCGAACTACTGGTACCTTCGCCGCATAGTTGCACATTAAAGCCAACATTTAGGTAGGAGCGAGTCCCTGATGGCCGCAAATGTTCACGGGGTGACACAATCCCTAGCCATTGTGGCTCCAATGCCAATATGGTCGAGGAGTTGATTGATCAATGCGTTGACCGCAATTTAGGCCGCTTCATCCGTTTTCTTGCTCTTCAGTCGGGACGAGCTAGATTTACTCCCCCTAGCAGCTCCAGCCTCACCCGCAGGAGCGGACTTCTTCTTGGTCAAGTCTTTGGCCGCTGTTTCTTTAGACCATTAGCCTATACAGGGACCTCTTTGCTTAAGCCAACCTGCTGCTCGACCACCTTTTGTTTGCCCAAGCCCTCTAGAGGCTCGATTATTTTCTTCTTACTCGAGCCATTATGCTGCTCAGATGCCTTCTGTTTCCTCAAGCTTCCAGTCAGCTCGAGAGTCTTCTTTGCTAGCCCTTTTGGGGCTCGGAGACACCTTTCCAGCCAACTGCCTTTAGGGAAGTCGTGGGCTTTTTCACGCTTGGGCATTTCCCAAGCTTGCCATTGGCGCACTTCATGCTGGCATTATCAGCAGACTACTTCGTCGCCAAAGCAACCGATGCCTTCTTGGTAGTTGTTGAAGCTACCGCCTTCTTCTTAAGGCCCTTCGGTTTCTTGGCCCAGATTTTTGCAAAAAGGAAGCAAACAGTGAGTGACCTATCCACGCAAGAAAGATGAGCAGGAGCAAGTGATAACTTAACCTTTTTTCTAAAATGGTAGGAAACTTGGCCTCGTCCTGAGAAAAGCCGTAATCAATCAAGTGAGAAAGCATAAGAATCTTGTTCATGTTGTGCTAGTTGTCAGGAAGGTCGCTGAAACGCTGGAGCCTCTACAAGCTCATGGCAAGAAGATAGTTCTGCTTGACTTTAATTGCAAAACAAAACCACTCAGTTAGCTCAAACACAAAGCTCGAAAGTGACCCTCGCGCACGCAGGAAATCAAAGCCTTACTCGCTTCCGAAGTGAAGACTCCAGACACTCGGACTTTATAGAAGAAAAATTGCAAGTCTTAATGTGAGACCTTCTTCGGAACATTGACCAACCCATTGAAATGTACTTTTCTCACCTTGGAAATGTAGTACATTTGGTCTTGCCCTTTCTTGAGCCTATACAGATGGGCGAGCTCCTCAGCAGATGGCTCGCCCAATTCTGCGATCATGTATGCAATGTACAGACCGATGATAATGACATACGAATTTGTGAATAGCTGGAGAGGAACGATATCAAACCACTTCAGCACGCCATTGATAAAATAGTAAGGGGGAATGGATACGCCATACCTCAAGAGGGTCTCAGAGTCGCCACCCATCCGGGCGGGGGATTCTTTCGAGAATATGCCCCCGAAACCATCAAATTAAGCTACAATACATAGGTCGCTCTTATGTGTCCCAAGTCCCCGACGGTAATCAAGGATTTTGGTTCCTTTTACAACTATGGACTGGAGACCGCCTAGATTGAGCCAATTGTATCGAGGCACGATCAGAAGAGCCCACAGCGTTAGGATCCAAGCTTCGCACGATGATTTCCTCGGAGACTTTGGGGTTTGACTCTCCAAGGACTATCAAGCTTGCGAGCGAATCAAACATGCGATCGATTGTATGACTATTGGAAGAAGACATGGTTATAGCTCGCTTCTAATTAGTACCTGAAATAGAAGCAAACATGTGTTAGTGCTCAAAAAATTTGGCGACCATTTCACACTTGCTTCTAGTTTAGGCACCCGAGATAGCTTGCGCAACACGACGAACGTACGTGACCTACTAGGGTTCCAACAATTACCGTGTTAAACCCTCCTTAAACCCAAGACCGTCGGAGACGCATTCAAAAACCCTATTAAACCCTAGAACATTCAATGTGGTCACTGTAATGGCCACCCTTTGACGCGAAAATCAAAAAAATGGATAAAGAAAGGGAAAAGAACTTTACCAGAGTAAAAGGAGTACAAGAACTCGCCAAAAAAGGCACCATGACAATGATGAAACAGCAACCGAATGCACAAGAATGGCAGAAAAATTTCATGGACTGAATAAGCATTCTGACAACTTCGTCACCTTTTATAGTGGTTTGCATGAAAGACGAAAGGGCGGGGTTTAATCACAGCCGTCGAATTACAATGAATCTCGACCCTTCATTCGTCGAACAATTTCAGCCCTTAGACATGGCCACGTGTCGACCATCTGTGAAGAGTGATGAACTGTCAGACTATTATGTTGATAACTGTCATCGCCCGTCGCCTCGACTTTGCGCATGGATAGCGATAGATGCCCACGCGCAATGAAACATGACTGACAAAGGCTACCGCATTTAATACGATATGACTGCATTGAAATTACATAACTGCCCTAACTTTTCATATTCTGAGTTTGTCAGGTATCGCAGGAGATGAAAATCCTAAGTGTGAAATACATCGACCAAGCGTGAGGTCAACCCTTAGAGCTCGACTGAACTTGCATCCGGTGATCCACTGACAATGCCGAGCTTGATATCAAATCGAGCAATAGTCTTCGAAGCTTGAAACGAGCATCGAACACTAGGGGGCAGATGTTGTGTGTGATTTTTTCACCGAGCTCGGGCTACCGTGAGGATGTAGCTCGATCCATAATCAGCTCGACTGTGACAATTGTCTGACCCAACATAAGCTCGTTGACATATAGCTTGACCCAACACAAGCTAGACACGAACAACCCGAATGATTATTCAATCAATTCCTAGATAACTTCAAATCCCAGATATTGCGGGAATGACTAGATCAACAGCAATCTCTATGCAACACAGTGCCCAATCGCGAGAATATCGGAGTTGCAATTCAGATCATTTGTAATCCCTTTATTTTCACTCTTTCTTTTGTACAAACCTGGTATATAAACCCCCTCGAATCATCAAAAAGGGGTTACAAAATTTCGATAGAATTCTTATTGAAAGATCTCACAGCAAATACAAGAACAGTGGACGTAGGCTTAAGAGTTTATTTCTCCAAACCACTTTAAAAATCTCTCTACCATTTGTTTTATTGCTTTATAATTCATCCATCATTGATTATCTGTAATCATGCACACATCAATTCCGATCCCGCCAAGGTCGATCAGATCATCAAACTCTCCATGCTTTTTGATCGAGCTATGCTCTCAAGCTCTCTATGCTTTCTGATCAAGCTATACTCTCAAATCAAGCTCTCTATTCTTTCTGATCAAGCTATGCTCTCAAATCAAGCTATCCATGTTTTCTGATCGAGCTATTCTCTCATATTAAGCTCTACATGCTTTCTGATCAAGCTATTATCTCAGATCAAGCTCTCCATGCTTTCTGATCGAGCTATGCTCTCAAATCATACTCTCCATGCTTTTTGATCCAACTATGCTCTCAGATCAAGCTCTCCATATTTCTGATCGAGCTATGCTCTCAAATCAAGCTCTCTATGTTTTCTAGTTTAGCGTTTTATGCTCTCTGATTGAGCTCATAAGCTCGCTCATTCGCTTGAGATCACGTGTTCAAGATCTCTCAGATCGCGCCAGGCATAATTTGAGCTCTTCAATTCGAGACTACAGCCTATAGTGCGACATTAATTCAGATCAAAGACATGAGTTTTTGAAGTCTGAACTCGCACTCCAAAAACTGGGGGGCTATTGTTGTGAGGAGAATCCGGAGAGGATAATTCCCTATTAGGAGAGAAGATATTTAGATTGGCTCAATTTAGAAGGAAGATATTCATATTGACTTGGATTACAACTAAGGTAGTCAAAGATCATGCAACTTCCTAATCCTACATATTTGAATCTTACCTTAACTCTATTATGTAAATGGGTGCTATATAAACCCATCAGAACTTGTTTTTAAGGGAATGGGCAATTGTTCTAAGTAAATTTTCCTAAGGATTATACTGTTCTTTGTAAGCTCTCAAAAGCAAAAAGATAACAGTGGACATAGGCTCAAGTTCTAACTTGTCGAACCACTTTAAAAATTGTCTTGTGTTTTAATTTATGACTCTTTCTTTTTTGTTCATTGCTGATTTTCATTAAATCACACACTTATCCATTCCGATTCTGGCAAGGTCAGTTGAAATTCTCTGGTTGGTACAAATTTATATATCAACATTTTCCACTTTAAAAATCTCTCTACCATTTGTTTTATTGCATTTACAATTTATTCATCGCTAATTATCCGTAACCACACACACATCTCGGATCACTCTAATTGGTACAGATTTCTATATCAACACAAGGAAAATCTTAAGAAACAAATCACAGGTTTACCATCCAATTTATGTATTTAATTAAATTTATTTTAAGCAAATTCTGAAAATAAACGAGAACTTCTCAGTCTCATCTCTTTTATTTTTTCCTTTCTCCAGTCAGTTAAATTTTACATAAGTCCACGGTTCATCAAGTAAATACACAAATACATCGATCACACACTTAATCTTCTTGAACACAAATTATCCTTGCACAAGCTTGAAAGATTGAATTATATACGTCGCAACACTGCATATAATTGAATTCCATCTCTGTAACATGCAGTCATCTCGTCATTAATCTCATCAAGCCTTTCCACTAATCGTCTGTACATTTCATCGCTAATCTCCAATGGGAAATGTTTGCTGAACATTCCCTCGAATGCAGCCCTTAGATGCTTTACAAATTCCTGCATGTTTATTCGACCTTTCAACCAGGGTGATGGGTTTGTTAATCCAATCGCCTCAATGCTGAAATTGCCATTTCTTTCTACCACTCCTGTAAATTCTCCAGGAGGGCAAGAATATATCGGTAAGTTGAAAGCATCAACTTGAGCTTCTGAAATTAGTCCCTGTAAAGTTTGGGTATATTGGCGTCATGGTTCAGCATGTTAAGTCATATGTTTGTTTAAAAACTTAATGTTATGCTCTTGATAACATTGACTCAATTGTTTACAATTTTTTTCCTCAATTATATACAACCATGTGTCCTACTTGTTGAATCCTACAAGTCTCGTATTGGATTATTAGAGAAGGCTATTGGGTTTCATTAAAATATATAATCATTTCATCTAACCCTTAGGCTCAAAATATGACAATTAATATTAGAAGGGATTCGTTATCCGATGAGAATGGTGTGACGCTCATAAAGTGGGAAGTTTGTCATATTCAACATCTGCTAGTAAATGAGCTTCATATTCAGTTTATAAGACTTTGATCCCCTTAATTAAGTATACACTTTATACGAGAAAGAAACTCACGTAAAACTCAAACGCAAACCTGATCCTAATACAGATAATTTCTACTTGGATTAATCTTTTCTCTTTGTGTCAGATCTCATTTAAGGAGAGATTGTTGAGTTTTTTAAGTTCTAGCTATCTCGTCAGGAGAAAAAAAAAAAGGGAAAACATTATTAGAAAGAAAAAAAAAAAGGTGAATCCATTAAAACTGAACTTACCTCTTTTACCATATCGTAGAAGATGGCACCCATACAATCATACATCAAACCATTTGCGATCTGAGAGAAAGGCATTCCATCCGGGATACTTGGATTGCTGATAACTATGATGCCTCCAGACACAATTTCTTTAGCTCTAGCTTTCAAAAAGCTCTCCAAATCTCTGGCAAACTGATTTGCATACGCATTCACAACTTCTTTCGGAGCAAAGGCATAGTGAACCCTGCCTTTGTTCCACGCAGCGGAACTCCTGTCTAGCAACTCTTCCGGCGCCTTCGACAGCCAATGAAGGGCATGAGAGACATGCACTACATGGAGAAATAATTCTGGAAACAACCGTTTGTGGAAAGAGCCTGGAACTCCAGCTACAAAGTATTGTGTTTCTTGGGGGACAGAGGTAAAGAGAGTGTTGAAATCATTGTAGGATTGATCGTTGAAGAAGACTTGAAAATCGGGCATTTCAGAATCAGGGCACTGGGATTTGTACTTCTGCTTAATGGTTTCTATTAAATCTTGCATGGTATTGAATGTATTTGGTCCAACTGCACAACCGCAATCTACAAGGCGAATTGTGTTTGTTGGGTATGGAGAAGACAATATAGATTTCACGTCTAGTTTTCTTGCAATTGTATCATCAATTTTCTCCTTTGAGACATTTGCAGCTAGTTTCTGTAACATCATTTATAACTTATTATTGTCATGATCTCTAGGTAAAAATCTAGGGAATTAGAATTAAGATTCAAAAGCGAACAATAGCAATTGTTTATGAAAGGGAAATTTGAAGCTGACAACCTGGTAAAGAGACTGGTAAGAACATCAGAGAAATGTAGGCCCTAAAAACAAAAGAATAGTAAAGGTATGGGAGACCTAAGGGGGAATCTAGGAGTTTTTTTTTCTGTAACAAACAGGGCATCTCAGAAAAACTGCTATGAATGGATTAAAAACAAACGGCCAGCACAGAAACAAACCTAGGTAGCTTTAGTCACAACTTAGAAATATCTAAAGCCCTCACCATTTCTAATACATCTAGAACAATAATGGTTGCTAGACTCTGGCTGCCCCTTCACATGAGCCCAAACAAAGACTGGTTTCAAAGGCTTAAACTGGGGAGCAAGAAACTGTTTTTATGGGGAATAATCACTCTTGTGAGGTTCAAGGAATAGGGGATATAACCATTAGGATGAATAATGGTAAGCAGTATTGCTCACTAGGGTTAGGTATATACCCAACTAAAACATAACTCATTCCTTGGGAACTTTAGATGAATCAGGCTGTTCTTATAAAGCACAATATGGCTGTATGGAAGTCTACAAATGGAATGTGTTGATAAAAGGGTTAAGAAAAATGGGCTTTATATCCTGTGGGGGCAATACATCCTGAGGTTTCTAATTCTGTTTTACTTTCTACTAACATATCTGCTGCAGAAAGATGGCACTTGAGGTTAGGCCATATAGACCAGAATGGTATGAATGCATTAAAACAACAGGGTATTTGGTAATGACGTTGTGACTGCTTTAATTTTTTTGTAAACCTGTATTCTTGGGAATAGCACAGGATGATTTTCCACAAAGGAACTCACCTTGTTGCAAACTGTCTAGATTATGTACATGTAGATCTTTGGGGTCCTGAAAAGGTAAAGTCACATGTAGGGAACATATACTTCCTCTCCATTGTGGATGATTAAAGTAGAAAGGTATTGATACCTTCTCAAGTCTAAGGACGAGGCTTTAACCAAGTTCAAAGTTGGAAACCCTGGTTGAAACACATTAGATAGAAAAGTCAAAACTTTTAGGACGTGATAATGGTTGGAGTTCTGTAACTAGAGTTTGATACTTACTGCCTAAATCAGAGGGTTGAAGGCTAGAACAGCTAGGGCAACTCCCACACAGAATGGGGTCAGAGAGGGATGAAATGACTCTCCTAGAAAGGGTTAGGAGTCTTCTTTTCCGCTGGACTACCCAAAACCTTATGGGGAGAAGCTCTAACCACAGCAGCCTATAGGACCCATCCAGTTCAATAGGTTTTAATTGTCTTGGAGAAATGGTCAGGGAGGAGACCAAATCTCAACCACCTAAGGTCTTTGGGTGTGCAGCATATGCGCACACCAAAGAAGGTAAGTTAAACTTAGGTCCCTTAAATGTGTCTTCCTAGGGTACCAAGAAGGGACCAAAGGTTACAGGTTGTGGAAAGGGATTGTACCAGAATTAGAGTCATAATTAGTCGATGTAGTCTTTAATGAGACCATGTTTCCTTGCAAAACTTCTACTGACAATGCAGGTTGCCTAAACAATCTTGAACTGCCTGATCAAACAGAAAGATCTCAGTTTGAGGTGGAGCCACCATTCTGACAGAACAGTTTGAACAATTTGAAGCTACTCAACCACAAGTCCCACACTGTCAAACACTGGTGACTAATATGAAGAAGATGATCAGCCTGAAAACAATGATGAAGACCAGAATGAAAACCTAGCAGAATCTCTAGTTAGCAAGAGACTGTTCAGAAGGGAGTAAGGCCCCCAAGCAGATACAGTTATGCTGATTTTATTTACACTACCCTGTTGCTAGGGTAGGACATTAAGGTCTGAACTAGAGACATACCAAGAAGCCATGAGCTCAAAAGACAGTAAAAAATGGCTGGAAGCCATAGGAGGAGATGATGTCCCTAAAATAGAACAGAACTTGGACTCTAGTCCCAAAACCTCTTGACCAGAAACTAATAGATTGCAAATGGCTCTACAAACTAAAAAGGCCTAACACCTCAGATCCTCCAAGATACAAAGCCAGACTGGTGGCAAAGGGCTCACACAAGGGCGTGTATCGATTTTACAGAAATTTTCTCTCCTGTGGTTAAATTTAAAACAATTAGGCTAATGCTAGCTATAGTGACTCATTATGACCTAGAATTGGAACAGTTGGATGTTAAAACTGCGTTTTTGCATGGTGAATTGAAGAGAAAATAATATATAGTCAACCAATGGGGTTTAGGGATAGAAACCTACCTGATCATGCTTGTTTATTGCATAAGTCCTTTTATGGACTCAAACAATCCCCTAGACAATGGTAAAGAGGTTCGACTCATTTACAGTGAAATTGGGTTCATTAGGAGTGCATATGATAACTGCTTTTATTTTGCCTGTACTAATAACATGCCAATGTATTTACTTTGTACGTAGATGACATGTTGTTATAGCAAGTCTAACTCACACAGAAGAACTAAAGCAAAATTGAGCACTGAGTTTGATATGAAAGACCTAGGGTCAAAAAAGATCTTAGGAGGATGATTGATAGGAATAGAAAGTCTAATAGATTAAGCTTCATCAATTGCCATATCGGCAGAAACTGATTCTAGGTTTGGAATGACTGGTGCTAAAGCTGTTAACTTACCCTTATAGGACATTTTACACTAAGCAAAATGCAGTCACCCAAACTGATGCAGACAGGATTAAAATGGAAATACCTCTCTCGTGCCATATGATCTGTTATGTATTCCATGATAACACCAGGCCTGATCTTTCCTTTGCCATATCTCTATTAAGTAGTTTACGTCAAATCCAGGAATAGAACACTGTTGCTTTAAATGGTTATTAGGATAAATTAACACTCAATGCATGTTGGATTAGATTTTTGCAAAAGAACCCCTACACTTGATCTGTTGTTGTGGACTCTGATTTTGCAAGAGATCGAGATTCAAGAAGTCCACCAAAGCTTACTATTTTACCTTAGGAGGAAACTGCATCAGCTAGAAATCCCAACTTCAACCCTTGGTGGCACTGTCCACAACAGAAGTTGAGTATTTGGTAGTGCTGATGCATTCAAGGAGGCAATATGGCTACAGGGATCTTGAAAGAGGCAACCTGATGGATGGCCTTGTGACTATGTACCCTGACAGTCAAAGTGCCATTCATCTAGTAAGAACCCCGTATATCATGAGAGGACGAAACATGTGGACGTCAAGTACCATTTTGTCCGAGATCAAATCTCAAAAGGAAGTCCGGGCTATTAAAAATTCCAACTGAAGAAAACCCATCTGATATGGGAACTAAAGTTGTGACTGCTGCAAAGTTCAAGCACTGCTTGAACCTTCTTCACATCAACTGAACTCAAAAGAGCTAAGAAAAGTATGAGAATTGCTTGCTGCACCTGATGTTTCTGTCTGAGTAAGGGATAGGCTTCAAGGTGGAGATTGTTATGTGTGACTTATACGCTGTCGTATTGGCTTAAGTGTACTCTACATTTGGATCATTGGTTTGTTATAGATCTGACGGCTGAAAACCGAAGATTGGTCAAACCTATAAAAGCTGAGTTTTCCATTCGCGACAGTCTCTCTCTCGATTGAAATCTTCCCCAAAATTGCTTGGTTAGGGTTCAAGATTAGGGCTTTGTGTTTGTGTAAATCTACTGATAACCTATCTATATAGTTGCTTTCTTTGTGAGTTGAGAATCTGGGTTATTTTCTCGGTTTTGGGTTGTAGATATCAGTATTAGTTCGAAGCCTGGTTAGTTCTTGATAGAAATCTTGTGAGGGAAGAGTGATTGAGTGCTTGTAATCTTTCTTGTAATAAAGTAAGTTTAGCGAGCATCCATATCTGCAGCTCAACGTGGACGTAGCTTGTTCAATCTTGAACAAGTGAACCACGGTAAATACTGTGTTGGATCTGATTTTATTCTGCTTTGATTGCTTGATTGTGTTGGTGTTTGCTTAGAATCTGTGGGGGATTTTACAACATCTTCCTTTCCAATAACGCACGCACTAAATAACAACTATTGCATGAGGTTTAGTAATTCTTAGTGCTAGAAAGAGACCTAACCAATTTAATATTAGTTTATGGGTCCTCCCATTAAAGGCTCAAGCCCATACTAATCGTTTACTCAGATTTATAATGAAATAGGACAAACTTGAAACGATCACAAAAAGTCCTTCAAGAATCTCATTTGGATTATATATTTACTGGTTTTGTTAAAACAAAATTATAATTATGTTAACCCACATCAGAACTTTCTAACAATCTCGTCAAGTATTTAGAAAGAAAAACAAGTGATATACTAATATAATAAATTACTAATGTTTGTAATGTAATATTATAATTAATTAATAATTAGGTAATTATTTAACTAGTAATGTATTAATATTTATCAATTTATTATATATAATTAATTAATTACAATTTATTATAGATATTCTTAGAACTTGATAATTGAAGTAAATAATTAAATATTATTCAATCAAATATATTATTTTATTCACAAATAATTCTTTCAATAATATTAAAACACTTGTAATTGGATCCTAATTCCAATTATAATTTATACACTTAATTAATCAAAACTTTAATATTATAATATATTAAAAGTTTTTTATATGTAAAAATTTTAATATATTAATTTGATTAGGTTATTATAATATATTAAAGTTTTTTTATATGGTGAAGTATATATGTATAATTAATTGTATATATATTTGATTAGGTTATTGTTTTTGTTACACTATAATTTTTTATATAACATTTAATCCCATTTGGCCATTTTAAATTTTTTATATGTAAAATTACAAAGATCCCCAATTCTTTACTGATATTTCATTAAAATCCAGGTTCCAATACAAGTTGCTACTCGGGTACCCGAACTCGGTTCCAAGACAGGTTTCATTCAAGGTACCGGGGCGGTTACCCACTAGGGTACCC